AAACAAAGAAGGCACTTTCTGCTGCAGCAAAAGCTGCTGCAGCATCCTCACTTCGTCACACGTGACGTACGCAGCAGCTGCACAGCAGCAGCAGCGACTTAGAGTGCTGCTGCTGCTGCTGCTGCTACTGCTAGCGCAAGTTGCAGGAACAGTCAAATTACGCGCACTCTACTGCAGCAAAGCTGCAGCAAAGCTGCAGCAGCAAAGCTGCAGCAGCAAAGCTGCAGCAAGCAGCAGAAGCAGCCAGTTCAAAATGTGCTGCTTTTTTGTTTTGTTGTTTTTTGCTGCTCAGGAATTGCTGCGACGGAGAGACGCGCGTCTAATGGCCTTCGTGCGGCAGCAGTTGATGCTGCCGGATTCTGCTGCAGCAGAAAACACTCTTGCTGCTGCTGCTGCTGCTGCAAAAAGAGGCTCGCAGATGCAACGCGAAAAGGAAACCTCCTTGGGATCGCCAAACGTTGTGCTGCTGACGGAGCGGCAGCGAAAAATGCTGCTGCAGCGCAGCAGCGCCAGCAGCAGCAGCAGCAGCAGCAGCAGCGACGTGCGGCCACAAGAGCAGCAGCAAGGGGAATTCCGCAGCGGGGAAAGAATAGCTCGGGGCTGCGGCGATGCTGCTGAGCTGTCGCTGCCGGCACTGCAGCAGGAACAGCAGCAAGGGAACTGCTTTAGTGAGACTCCGCTGCTGCTTTCGCACCGCAGCGCAGCAGCAGCAGCAGCTGCTACTGCTGCTGCTGTGTCTGCGCTGCCTCCGCCCCCAGAATTCCCCCGCAGCTCAGCGCCGGTTCCTCTTCTTCCACTTCAGAAGCAGCAGCTGCTGCTGCAGCGGGACGACAGGGGCCACACGGGGGAGGGTTCCACCGCAGCAGCAGCAGCAACTGCAGCAGCAGCTGCACCAGCAGCTGCAGCAGGGGGTCTGGAGTCACCCAGAGTGATCATTAGTGCTGTCACTACACCGCGAGACATCATCCGCTCTCTTCCGCAGACCCCCATAGCTTCTGCAAGAGCTTCAAGAGGTGCTGCTGCTGCTGCTGCTGCTGCTGCTGCTGCTCCTAGTGGGGAAACCGGCTTGCGGCTCGAGGCTGTTACCGAGTGCGTTAACCGCGTAAGGGAGGCCCTGAGCCTGGAGAGCAAAATATCAAAGCTGCTCATTCACTCCGAACGCAGCAGCAGCAGCAGCAACAGCAGCAGCAGCAGCAGCTGCAGCGCGAGCAACAGCTACAGACCCAGCAGCGCCAGCATTGCCCGCGGCAGCAGCACCAACTTGCGAGAGCTGCAGCGGCCAGCAGCAAATTCGCAGCAAGTGACCCCAAGGATTTTCAGGCAGCAGCAAACTCCCCGCCTGCTGCAGCAGAGCGGCAGCAGCAGCAGCAGCAGCGGATGCCACACTCCACGG